ACCCCGATTCCGAACCCGAAGAACAGACCCCGAGAAAGAAACGAGGCCGCCCGCCGAAACCAGCAACGCCGCAAGCCAGCGGCGCCGTCACGCCCTCGAAGCTGCGCCAGGTGAACACGCTGGTGACGCCCGTCAAGGCCGCCATCACACCGCGGAGGCGCCAGGCCGCTGACCGTTCCGCACGGAGGAAGAGCGCCAGGGCTCTGATCCAGAGCATCGTCGCCGACGAGGACAGCGACGGGGACGAGGGTCTCGCGCGCGAGATTTACGAGTCGAGCGAGGAGGAGGGAGACGAGGAAGCCGAGGAACAGAGGACACCAAGAGCAAAGGCGACGACATCGGCGACGAAACCACCCACAGCATCAGCACCAGCATCAGCATCACAACCCCCCGAACCAGACACACCATCAGCAGCAACCCCCCGCCGCCGCGGCCGTCCACGCAAACTCCCACCGCCCAAATCGCCAACCCCGCCCCGCGAGCTGCCCCCCCACGAAACCTACTTTGAGCAGAACAAGCCCGGCCGCGCAAAGACGTCCCACAACACCCTCGCCTCCCTCGACCTCCTCACGCACGAAGAGTACTTTGACCTCCGCCGCGAGGACGCCTTACAAAACAAAGACCCCCACGCAGACGACCTCGCCTACCTCGAGTCCCTGCACGAGTCCTCTTTTCCGCAGTGGCACTTCGAGCTCGCCCAGGGCTTCAGCCTCTGCCTCTACGGCCAGGGCTCCAAACGCAGCCTCGTCGCCAAGCTGGCGGCGCACCTCTACGCCGCGGACCCGGAGGCGCCCATCGTCGTGGTCAACGGCCACGTGCGCTCTCTGACGGCCCGAGAAGTCTTTTCCACCGTCGCCGCGGCGCTCGATCCGGCGCTGAAACTGCCCGCCCAGACGACGGCCATGGTCCAGGCCCTCTCCTCGGCCCTCGCCTCATCATCACACAGCCGACCGATAACGATCCTCCTCCACTCCATAGACGCCCACCCCCTCCGCAAACAAACAACCCAACAACTCCTCTCCCAACTCGCCGCCCTGCCCCAGATCCGCCTCGTCGCAACAGCAGACACGCCCTCCTTCCCCCTCCTCTGGGACGCCGCCCAGCGCACATCCTTCAACTTCTTATTCCACGACGCCACAACCCTCCAACCCCTACAGGACGTCGAGCTCGACCCCGTAGACGAGGTCCACGAACTCCTCGGCCGCAAAGCCCGGCGCGTCAACGGCAGAGAGGGCGTCGTCTTTGTGCTCCGCTCGTTGCCCGAGAACGCAAAGAAGCTGTTCGAGCTGCTCGTTATCGAGGTCCTGTCCGCCATGGACGATGACGGTGGACAACAGTATGGGGCGGAGAATACGGGTGTTGAATACCGGATGGTGTATAACAAGGCCGTGGAGGATTTCATCTGCAGTTCCGAGATGGCGTTCCGGACGCTGCTGAAGGAGTATGCCCCCCATTATACCCCCTTTTCTCTCATTCTATCGGGTGCACATTTGAAGCAGAGACTGACAAGACAGATTCCACGACCATCAAATCATTGAGAGCAGGAAAGACGCCCTCGGCACGGAGCTCTTGAGTATCCCCTTTAGGCGAGAAGAGCTCGAGGCCATCCTCGAGGACTTGATGTCCTGAGTCGACTTCGACATATCTATAAATCATTGTACATTTAGCGCATTCGGGAGGCGAAAGCATAGTGGCGAAACCTAGCATCTGTAGCTTCCCCGAACCGATTCACGAAAATCACACGGCACATAGACAGGCAAACCGAGGCGTTGCATTCATAATCATGATCACCCATGTTCTAGGAGTATTTTGTAAAAGAAAACCATCTCGTGAAACCCTGACCCCCCTGAAAACGCCAGTCCCATGTCACGCCCCTACACCCCGATGCTTTTAACACACGTCCAGAGGACCACCGGCACAATAACGTTATCGTTTCCGCCGGTCAAGACCGCCTCCGTCAAGCTTGCCATGCTGGCGCAAAAGCCGGCGTTCCGCGCCGACGTGGGCCACGCCACATGCTGCTCCGCCGCGACGGGCCACCTGCCAACCCGAAGCCAGGTCGTTGCCGCCATCAGCCCGAGGAACACGGCCACCGCGAACGCGACGCTGCCCTCGAGACTCTTGCCGCCGCCCCAGACCCATTTCCTATGCCCGTACCGCCTGCCAATAAGAGACGCGGCAGCATCGCCGAGACCGACGCAAATGACGCCCGCCACCATGCTGACTTCGCGCGTCGGCACCTCCCACCCGGTCAAGTAACCGCTGCCGGAGCGCGGAAGGGTGGCGAGGGACAGCCAGAGAGGGATGGCGCAGCCGATGAGCAGAAACAGATGGGAGATGACGACGGGCCCCTTGTGGTCTCTGCCATCCACGTACGGCGTGAGGAACGAGGCGATGGGCCGGGACAGCGGCGGGAGCTGACTCGCCCGCAGGAGGTCGAGAATGAGGAAGATGGCGAGGACAAGCGATAGTGCCAAAGCCGCAAAGACGGGGTCGATAAAGGTTGCAGGGAGGAACATGCCAACCATCATGAAGTGGAAGACCTTTCGCCTCGTGTCCACTTCGTACTTGGGGTCCAGGCGAATGACCACGGTCAAGCCGACAATGACAATGGCAAGCCAGTACGCTGCCATCAGGAGCCGCGTGTTGGCTTCGCCAAAGTCGGCCAGCCGAATGTGCTGCACCCACCCCTGGTGGCAGGACTCCTTTGCAACGTCCTCGCTCAGGCGTGCAGGCAGACAGATCCATCTCTCGAGGTTCGCTTCAACCACTTTGAACCTGAACCACGGCAGCTCGCCAAAGAGATATCCCAGTGCCCAGCCGACGGGCTCGTTACCCAGCAGCGCATGGCGACCAATGTATTCTCGCACAGGCACCAAGATGATGAGCACAATGCAAGTGTAGACATATGTTGCGTACGACCATTTCCTCATGGTGGCTTGCGCCTCCGTCAGCTTGAAGAAGGAGCGGACGGTGGTCGACGCGGTGCGTTTCCTTCGGCCTGCTGATGTGTGTGTCAGGGACCGCCGCGGCCGCTGCAAAGCATACGGAAACGTGTTGCGTCGCTCAGCGGCGAACCCGTTTGGTGATGCTGGGGCTTTGCCATCAGGAGAGGCGCTCATCTTGCGCTCTCCTCGGGAGGGCATATCGGCCATGCCAAACGTCCGGACTCTCGTGGGTTTCGCAAAGGGTCCGTTGATGATTTCCTCTTCGGAATCGCCCAGTTCAGATGCCGACTCCTCCAGTGATGAGCCCAGCAGCTCGTGCTTGAAGCGCCGCATAGAGAGCCCCTCGGAGAGAAACCCAAAGACGGATGACTTCTTTGACGGGGTCCCAACGCGCCTGAAGCGCAGCCTCGGAACCCTAGCCAAGGCGATGCCCCATCGAATCACCGGACCGCAGACGACGAGCACGCCCACGCCGCCTCCCCAGAGCAGCGCTTGGAGAATGGTGGCCTGTGGCGAGTGGGCGAGGAGGAGCACATTGATCAAGGCGATGGAGAGCAGCTGCAGCTCAGCCGTGAGCAGGCTCGTCGTAGTAAGATAGTGCAGCACTTCGAGCAGCGTCTGGTGCAGCGGGTACAGGAGAACAGCCGTCTCCGGGCTGATGCTCGGTCTAGATAGTGTCGCTTCCGGGTGTTGCTGCGAAAGCCACATGGGAACGCAGGATAGAACCCATTGCAGGGGGTTAATGGCTTCGTGAGCGCGAGCCGTCGGGATTAAGTATTTGGGTATCGAAGAAATGCTCAGAATAATGTTTGTAAGGATGACCGCCTGGTTGTCGGGGGATATTAATAACGCCACGAGGAGCGTCACAGACGGAGGATACAGAATGGGCGCAGGGTCAAAGACGGTGGGCACGGCAATGGCTGGCTTTTTTGACGAGGCCCTATGGCGGGTTGACCATGCGAAGAGTCGGACCGGGTAGAGGATCATGAGAGAGGTGATGAGCGTGGCTGGGAAGCGCAGTTCTGAACATGTGAGCTGCAGTTCCAACGTCGGACTGGACGTGACATACCTCTGATCCACGCGGTGAAGAGTGGCTTCACCAACGGATTTGAGCGAACCACAGCGAAGAGCGAGCCCACAATGATGAACTCTGACACGCGCCGGATGAGCTCCTTTGTGCGGCGGTAGTTGCGATCGTTGAGGAACCTGCGGGCCTCTTTCCGATCCTCCTTTTCCTTCTGCTTGCGCAAGGCATCTTCTTCCTGGTCTGGAGAGAAGAGGGGCGTCGACGAGCCCGAGAGCACCTCGTTTTGCCCCCTTAGTCCCTTGTGCAGGCGGACCTTGGGCGCCGGCAGCCCCTTGAGAAAGTGCTCATCGTCGGCTTCGGTGCCGCTGTCGCTACCCTGCGAAGAGTCCTTGGCGAACGATGGAAAGGGAGATGGGGTTCGGCTAGAGTCTGTTGATGATGTCCTCGGCGGCGTCGGTGCGGCATTGGGAGGCTTATAGACTAGACGGTGGGCGGGATGAGGGAGCTCGGTATTGAGGTGGTGATAGGGATGCGGGGAGCGGCTGAGAGATCGGATTTCATCGTTTGCTTCTGTATCGTGGCCGAAGAGAGCGTTCGGTTCGAGATGCGCGGGCATGGCGGAGCTATCGCATTGGTGACGAGTGCCAGCATTCGGTTACTGGGGATTGGGAATCACTGTGTTGGCGATGCTGGGTAACATGGAATGGAGCGAGACGGGTGCCGTGGGCTGTCGCAGGGTGATTGGGGCGTCGCTACGATGATGGTGTTTCTTTCACGTCAGGCCACGGGTGTCAGAGGCTGGGAAACAATGTGACGGCGAGGCGGCGGTTGTGGGGAGCTCCATCACATGAAAGATGCGAATTGGCAGCTGTGTTGTCATCTGCGAGACTGGGCTGGCTGGGTTAGTGGGCTGTCTGCTAGCAGTCTCTGTTGGGAAAGCGGTCCATCAGCCGCGCGGCGCCAGGGAGGAATGCGCCAACGCGAGTGGACAGCGGGTGACAACAGCGACAGTCAGCACGTAGTGGATGGCAGTGACAGACAGCAGACAGATCCCACCGGATTTCACAAGACGCACGAGCCACAGGGCCAAACAACACAGCCTGTCACCTCCTGTGGCTGAGCATGATGCCGCAGAGGTTCTCTTGGCGGGGCACTCGGGCGTTGTCTTCCGGGTACCGAACGGCAGCTTACCTAAGGTACTTGCAGCCATGTACTCGGCCTCTAAGGTAAGGAACCTCAGGATGTCTCCCGTCCGGGACCGAAGTCAAGAATCAGAAGCCATCGACCATCTTTCTTCCACAAGTCTGAAGAGGAGGCTGACGAGAGACACACCGCGATCAAGCTCGCCATCATCAAACACGCCCACCCCAGGGACGTTCCAGACGTGATCCCAGACGTCGGTGACCTTATTTCCCGACACTCAACCATGGTAGCCTCCATTCGAGAGCCTCTATGCGGCGGACATTGCCAGATTCCTGCAGGCATGGCCTGGCCTGACGCCTCGAGAAAAGAGCAATGTGGACGTCGCAGTGTCATTCTTAAGTAATCTCAACCACAAACAAGACACACGCGCGACACGGCACAGGCCAAGCCAGGGCGGAATCAGCCTTTAGCCCTTCACGAGATGAAAAAGTCAATTGGACCCGTCAGGCCAGCCGCCAGCCGTGCCAGCCGTGCCAGCCTGGTGCCCATCGACTCGGACATGCTGTGGTGGACTTGTGGTGACGCCAGGCTGTATCAATCTGGTGCTCGCGACCTCACGATGATGCACATGTAGTCCACCTGCGAGAGAAAGCCAGGTTGCGACGTTGCGATATGGTGGACTTCTGACATAATCGACGTCTCCAGTCTCCAGGCCAAAATTGGGGCATCCCAAGTGGGTGCCGTTCGCAGCTCAACGTCGGTCTGCAGCATCGCCAGGTCGTCGACATCGCATTTGATGCTCACACTTGTTGGGCGTCGCCAGCCTAGTGTACTGCTGAAGCACTGCTACTAAAACTGCCAAAAATAACAATCAATCGGAGAATCAACAGGCAAGCCACAAACCACCAGATCGTGGGGCACCGCTGACCGTTTCCCAATCCGGACGCCACCATCTTCATTTTGTCCCGTCAGTGCCCGTCAAACGTACGAATAGCGAGTTGGCACATCTGCCTCAGCCTCCTCGCCTCCCGCTAGCATCCGGATGCTCTAGCGGGCCACGAAGCCTGCATCGGCATCGACGAGTGCGAAAAAAAGGGTCGAGGCCCCGGCACTCGGCTGCCCGACCGCCCCAGCACCCGTCATTCGAGAGTCTCGAGGATGAGGGCCGCATCTCGTATTACCTGGTCCCTGCAGCGGGTCGAGGATTGGCTGGCAGGGACTGGGGACATGCTGGAGAGACAGCTGCACTGGGCCGCTCCCCCAAACCGGACGCTGGGCAGAAAAAAAGTCAAAATACGAGTCGATCAGTCACTCGATTGTGGACAGCGACTACGGAGTATTCACCGCGAATAGGACGAGCCCCATCTGTCGGTCTGATCAGTGATAGGTGATGGCTCGCTGTTTCAAACGCACGCAAACAGAACGTCAAACGGGTCAGACGGGCTAAGAAACCATACGGGCGGCTTCAGGTGCGCAACGCTCCAAACGGCGACCATCACAGCCACCTCCCGTACCAGCTAGGACAAAAGACCATCAAATCAGACGGATGCGTGAGCCCACACGTTGTACAGTTGCACCTCGCCGTTTGACGTGTTCCACACCAGATTCAGGCGCGACGAAGCTCAGGGGAGATGGCTCTCTTATGCAAAGAGGTTCTATCGACAGACGGACCACAGACAGACGCAGAGGGAGTGATAATGAGGCTCTATTGACGGGAGAGGCAAGCCAAAAGCAAAAATAGTCTTATCAGCTCCCTTGGGACATCATGCCTGCAAAGCTGACCGGACCGGCAGTGGGTTCGTAATCGACCTGCATGCAGTGCCAGCGCGGTGGATGTCGCAAAGATGCTGCAGCACACCGCACCGAGTTTCCAAGACCCCCCCCGGGCACTCGCTAGGGCGGCTGGGTGCAGGCCCCGACAGTCAGCTCCCCCTTCCCCTCCCACGAGCCAACGATGCGAGGATGGAGGCAATTGGACGAGAAACCCCCATGGTCTGACTGATCACCAAGAGTCTTGCATGTGTGGATGGCGCGAAAGTCACCGAGTGCGGCACCATCGCGGGGCATCTGAAGTTGGCAGACACCAGACGACTCGTATCGCGGCGTAGCGTAGCCCACGTACGTCTCTCTGCACTTCTGTACGCGGTATGTGCAAAGTGTGGGACAATGAATCAGACTGACGATGGGTTCGGAGACGATACGAGACGCCGCTGGTCTGATGCTATTGGTGATGTCACAATCCACTCGACGGCAGCACCGGGCGACTCCTGAGAGAAAAACATGAGCCAAGTGGCTTTGGGGCCAGTGGGTATCAGGGAACGGAAAGACATTGCCTAGCGCAGAGGCCACGCCCGGAGGAATTAATGGGCTTTTGACATTCCCGGCCAAAATTGGGACAGAATCAGCAAAATATTATTCAATATCGACTGGAGCCGAGGATGGACGCTGCGCCTGACGATCCCTGTGCGAGCTGCTGCAGACTCCAGTCTCCAGAGGCTGTCCCGGCACGCCGCAGACGCGATGGACACCAGTGACGAGCGATAGCGATGCAAGATGGGGACGGACTGATGAAATGGGAAGCTCGGTTTGGTTCACGGCGGAGAGGGTTACACTGAGCCTGTCGACCGGGGCTCGGTTCGTCACTCTATCCATACTGACAGAGAGCTACGCAGCTAGAACGGATCCATGGAAGCAATGGGACGGATAGCTCGAGTTGGGCCGACAGGACAGGGGTACGTCGTCGGGGCGGCGAAACAGGGAATCTTTATATGCACAAAGATGTGTTGCCCCCAGCCGACTGGGCGACGCCGATGTGCATTCTGCCTGGGACGATCTTCAACAGGTTTAAACGCCAATCCCCTTTGCTCGCTCGCTTTGCCAGTTCTCATCTGATCATCCTTCGGTCACTGTTCTGCTACGACGCTCGCTCGCCTTTGCTGTTGTCCATCGCCACCTACAACACGGTAGATTCTCGTCACCCCGACTGTTCAGAGTTTGTTCACATTCCAAGCCAAGTCTCAGGCTCGTGAAATTGGCGGGACTGCGCAACAATCTGCACACATACCTATCGCCCAGTGTCAGCTTCCACCCATTGGACGGGTACGCAGTAGTTCCCCGGTTCCGTCCATTCTCAAACGATAAACATTCAGCAGCAAGGTTTTTTCTTTGCTTTTGATACCGAACCCCGGGGACCGCAAAAGAAGCGCGCGGCGTGCCTCAAGCCGACCCTCACATCCCAAAAGCTGTTAGCTCGACGGGTCTCACTACGCAGAAAACTCCATCCTTGGCCTCACCCCCAACCACCCACCAGACAAGAGGGTTTCGGCCGGCCAGGTACCACCGCTCATCCAACCTTTTAGATCGCCTCTCGCCCCTCTTCCTCACATCAGAAACGGAGGCCGCTTGCGACCTATACAATACCTGCAAGCCTTCTCTTTGAACTTGTTGGGCCATTGGATCTTTTCCCCCCTCTCTTACATCTTTCGCCGCCTTTTGTGCTGCAGCCGGGACGCTAGACAGACCCTCACTCGCTGTGTGTAACTTCACACTTGGTCCCCTGCACACCTACTTCCGCGTCCATCCAACTGTCGTTTCCGTCCTGCCGTCTTGGGTGTTTGTAACCTTCCTGGCCTCTTGGTCCTGTCTATAAACAACCCGGGAGCATCTCTCACATCTCGCCACCATGACTTTCGACACAAAGTACGACCACCACCTTGAAGAGGGATTGCTGCCTGTTGTCAACCAGAAGGGGACCACGACGACATCACCATCATCCAGGACGCCAAACAAAATGACTGCTGCACGCCGTCTTCTGCTCACCGTCTTGGTGTGCGGCTTGATGACCCTCAGTCTCGCCTCGGCCATTGGTCACCGGGCACGACCTTGCACGAGAGATCATCAGGAACAGGTCCTGGTGGCAGAGGGCGAGGTCAAGGACGCCGCCAAAGTGGATCTCATTCACAGGCTCCTGCACGCCTACTTCCCCGACCGCTACCAGGATGGCGTCTATGCCTCGGACAAGGAAGCCATTGCTGCCTTCCAGGTGGACGACGCCGAGCTGGCTTCTGCTCTCGGTCAGCTAGAGAAGCGTCAGGACAATGGCACCTCGAGCGCTGCTCCTGCTGCCACTCCCACGCCCTCCGCCTCGGAAGCTTCCACGCCGTCTGCCTCGTCCGCGCCGCCGGCCAGTAACACCCCGACCCCGACTCCGACCCCAACGCCGTCTACTCCGGCCACCTCCTCCGCTGCTCCCCCGGCGTCCTCCTCCGCAGAGGTTCAGCAGTCCTCTAGCACGCCGCAACAGACTTCGGCAGCGCAGACCACGCCCCAGCAGTCATCGCAACAACCCGCCGCCTCGAGCACCCCCACGACGCAGCAGACTTCAGCAGCAGCCCCTTCTTCTGGTACGTCTCAATCGGAGTCGCAGCAAGCATCTCCCTCTTCTACTCCTGTTGGGCCGTCCACCGTCTCTACTGAGTCTCCTCCGACGACCAGTGGGTCTCCTTCCTCTTCTTCTCCCCCTCCCCCTTCTTCTGCCCCCTCGTCCGCTCCCACCACGGCCTCCCCGGGGTCTTCGAGTGCGTCCGCGCCGGGTACGTCTGCTTCCCCTTCTTCTGAGACTACTACGGTCGTGACCTCGTCCCCCACGGTGTCCTCCGCTTCGTCGACTGTGTCTGTATCTGGTATGTTGGTTTTGTAGCGCTCGATTCATGTTAGCCTGGAGTTGAGGGTTTGGCAGATGATCTTTTTGGCCTCGTGACTCGTCATTTCATCCATCCGATTGCATCAAGTTGCTAACAAAACATCAGGCACTACCCGCCAAGGCACCACCACTACGCGCAGCACGCCCCGGACCACCTCGTTCAGCGAGGTCAAGTCCACCTTTACGTCGACCGCCTCCAACGGCGACGTTGTCCTCGTGACCGCCACGTCCTTTGTCGCCGTCGACCCCGAACCCGCCGCCACCTCGGCCGGTTCCAGCGGCAGCGGTGGCAGTGGCGGTCTGCAAAACGTCGCCGTCCCCATCGGCAGCGTCTCCGTCCTGCCCATTGGTCTCGCCGCGTTTGTAGCCGGCGCCATGCTGTTGCTGTAGACTAGGACAGCATCCAGCACCACTCGAACGTATACAACGTTCACCGTCCACGTTGATGGACTTTCTGTTTAAATATTTAATCCATTCCTTTTTTTGGGCAGCGGGTTTTGGTTGGTCGGGCGGCACACACATACACATCAGCATCACAACTTACTTACGACATCTAACGGTCTATTCACTCCTTGCATACAAAACTGGTGGGCACAGCACAACAATCGACACAACGATACATAGACTACGCGCGGCCTTGGCGCCGACATTTGATTTTTGGATAGGAGGGGATAATAGAATGGGAGACACACTGAGAAACATCTTGGCCTAGGGGTGGCAGAGGAGGGGGAGCGAGGGGGAAGAATTCGGAAGCGGAAGAAAACAGGCCATCATCACGATGGGGAAACCTGAAATGTTAGTACAGTTCCTTGGCAGACCCAAAGGAACTCGAGAAACAAACAACACTGAAGAATTTTGTGCAAAAAAGAATGAAAACAAATCATTTGACACACACATCTTGGTTGAGACATGATGCCCGCATTCCTTGACACGTTCGAGAGCTAGATTGTTTTCGCCTACCGTGTTTGATTGCGGGACCGCCCGCATTCCAACGTAGTCTTGGGTAGGTGTCGGGCGTCAGGTGTTCAGATGGAACGTCTACCTTGTTTTGCTCGATGTCTTGCTTGTTTTTCGCGGTGTCATCTCTCTGCATCAAGGGAGGGGAGCTCCGTGGCAGAATGGCAGCACCAGCACCAGCACCAGCAACGCGAAGGTGATGAATATGTTTTCGATTTCCCAGACTTTGGAAAGGGTATACAATAACGCCGAAATCAAAAACTCCATTTCCTCTTTCCATCCAATCCATCCAGGAAGCGAAATGATCCCAACCGACAAAACAACCCCCTCCTCTTCCGCTTTGTTCGAGGGCCTCCTTGACGAGCCCTCTTGACGAGCCCTCTTGACGAGCCCTCTTGACGAGCCCTCTTGACGAGCCGTCTCCACGGAGCAAGTCTTAACCGGGCCCAATCTTGGGCATATCGTGATGCTCACTCAGCTTGGACAAGTAGGTATTCAGCTCCTCGACGCGTTCCTTGTGCGTCTTGAGGAGCTCGGGGCGGGAGCTTGACGATTCTGCGAGTTCGAGGAGCTGTGTTTGGGACAAGATGTCAGAGTGGCGATCGAAAGATGGCAACGAGGCGAATCCTGCCCTGCAAGAAACGGGGAGGAAGAAAGAAAAAGAAAAAAAGACATACCCTCTTGCGCTTCCTCTCCTCATACCGCCTCTCCGCCTCCGTCTTTTGCACGACCCGGCCGCTGCCCTCGTCGTCATCGTCGTTGTCCCGGTCCTCGTCAGGGTCCTCGCTCTTCTTTTTCGACTTGGATTTCAAGTCGCCGGCGGATTCTTCCCGGTGCTTCACCAGCGCAGTGCTGCTGCTGCCTTGGTCGCCCGTCTCGAGGTTCTTTTCGAGGTCGGTCTTGTCGCGTCTCTTCTTCTTTTTCGGTTTGGTCACTTTGGCGCCCTTGAGCTTGAGGCCGCCGCCTACCGCGGAGGCGTAGTCGTCGAGCGGCATCGTGGGCGGCGGTGGTGGGTGGTGTTGCCGTCGGACGTGGTGGTGATGGGTTTCCCGCGTATTGCAGGTGGGACGGCGACGCGGATCCGAGCTTCCTTTTTCCCTTGTGCTCCCGTCTGTCGGAGGCTTTCAGCTCTTCAAGGCCTCTTTGCCCCACTATCCCTTGAGCTTCCCTTCCCCCCTGGCGCTGCGGTCAGTGGGCTTTGGTGGCTTTTTCTTCGTCCTGGAGCGGCTCAAAGGATTTCGGCTTTGCTTGTTCACGCTTGCTAAAGGGAGGCCCCCTGTCCCAAAGTCTTTGCGCCCCACACTCTTAAACCGGTGGCAGGCGCCAAGATGTGATTCGCTCTGCCCGCGCCGCGGATCTCGATGGGGGGCCAATCAAGGGTTGATCCGCGTACTTTTTGCTCGTGGGCCCGTGCGGGTGCGAAACAGCTGCTGTGGTGCTGCACTGCTGGCTGTGGGAAAGTCAACAATCTGGAGGTCCAGCCAAATTGCAGTAAAACTGCCCCCTTTGAATCAAAAGATACATCTGCAGATACCGTACTCTCAAAGGCAAAAGTGACTTGGCTGATGCTTGACTTGACTCGATAGTTCGTCACTGGAACCCTTGAGTCTGCCGTCCACAACCCAGTCTTGCCAGTCCAGACACCCAGGGGCCATTGTTGCATCTGGATGCCACCTTGTTCTCGGCGCAACTCAATCTTTCTTTCTTCCCTCCTTTGTTCATCCGCCTCAACCTTAATCCGCACAACTCCCTTCGCCAGTGACCACACTTTCTACCGATACATACGACCCCGGCCACCACATCTCCTCACCCAGCCCCCATTTGTTCCGTTGGCCAAACTTATTCGGACATCAACCACAGTCAAGCATACAGCTACTAGTTGGATGTTTCCTTTCCTCTCCGCTTCTTTCCCCCTGGATCATTAGTCTGTTTCGGTTTCCGCGTGTAGGGAAGTGGGTATAGAGAGCCCTGGAGAGAGCGCGCAACAGACGGGCCCGGCGCAACTTTGTCACGACTCCTTTAAACGAAACGTATATGCCAACGACGTCACGAAATTCGAAAAAGACACCGCTACTCTAATACCCACAATCGAGGGCACTCGATCACGTACACTCCATTGCTTTTTCCACATTGGCCGCTGCAACATGCGATAGCCCCAGTGCCGAACCCCCGAACGCTCGAACGAAATCCAGGTCGAAAGTGTTCCCTCGACACCCCGATTCACAGACCACCATGCCACCATACGCTAATGTCCAATCCCACCGCGACTCCCTCGAGCTCGCCTCTCTCGCCTCGTCCTCCCGCGCCGACTCTGTCGTCTCAGACCTGCCCTCCTCGCGTCCCTCCATATCCTCCTCCCGCAAGCTCTCCTTTGACGCCGAAGACCCCCTAGACGCCGCGAACCCGGCCGCCGCCGCCTCCTCAGGGAGACCGAACCGCCATGACCGCTCCTACTCCGTCTCCTCGGGCTTCGACTTCGCCGCAAACCTCTTCCCCTTGAGCTCCACAGCCGGCGCCGGCGGCGCAGGCGGCTACGCACCCATTGGCGCGCCCACCTCCACCGCGATACAAAACGGCGGACTCGGCGGCGGCAGCTTGGAGAAGCACAAGACGCTCACGTACCTCAACGGCCTGAGTCTCATCGTGGGCCTCATCATAGGGAGCGGCATCTTTTCGAGCCCGAGCCAGGTGAGCTCAAAGGTCGGCTCGCCCGGCGCCGCGCTCGTCGTCTGGGTCATTGCCGGCGTGCTGGCCTGGACGGGCGCGGCTAGCTACGCGGAGCTCGGCGGCGCGATACCTTTGAATGGCGGCGCGCAGGTCTACCTCGCCAAGATCATGGGCGAGATGGCCGGCTTCCTCTTCACCTGGGTGGCCGTGCTGGTGCTGAAGCCGGGCAGCGCCGCCATCATCGCCATCATCATGGGCGAGTACCTCGTGCGCGCCGCCATTGGCGCCGAGGCCGAGAGCCTCAGCCCCTGGGTCAACAAGGCCGTCGCCATGGTCGCCCTCGTCTCCGTCACCCTGCTCAACTGCGTCTCCACCAAGCTCGGCACAAAAGTCAACGACTGGCTCATGTTTCTCAAGTTTATTGCGTTGCTGGGCGTTACTGTGACTGGCATCGTCGTCGCCATCACCGGCAAGACCGTCACGGGCAAGGCCAACATGGAGTGGAAATCGCACGAGTGGTTCGAGGGCACCTCCACCGACCTCTCCGCCTGGGCCGTCGCCCTGTACGCGGGACTCTGGGCCTACGACGGCTGGGACAATGTAAGTTTTTTCGTCTCGAGATTCTGAGCGCCGCTGACCATCCAGACAAACTACGTCGTCGGCGAGTTCCGCAACCCGAGCCGCGACCTCCCGCGCGTCATCCACACGGCCATGCCCCTCGTTATCCTCTCCTACGTCCTCGCCAACATTGCCTACTTTCTCGTCCTCCCCCTCGCGGCCGTCAACGCCTCCAACACGATCGCCGTCCAGTTCGGCGCAAAAGTCTTTGGCCCCGTCGGCTCCCTCGTCCTCGCCCTCGTTGTCTCGGCATCCTGCTTCGGCGCCCTCAACTCGTCGACCTTTACCTCGTCGCGGCTGGTGTACGTTGCCGGCAAAGAGGGCTACATCCCGTCCGTCTTTGGCAGCATCGGCCTGTCGCGCAACGACAACGGCGGCGGCGGCCACTCCGTCACCACGTCCCGCACCTCCCGCGGCCGTCTCGCGAATCTCCTGATCCGCGCCCTCGGCGACGACGACATGGGCCTCTTTTACACCCCCGTCTGGGCCCTCGTGCTCAACGGCCTGCTGACGGCGGCGTACATCGTCGTGGGCGAATTCGGCACCCTGCTGACGTTTTACGGCGTCGCGGGGTACACATTCTACTTTATCACGGTGCTGGGCCTCATTATCCTGCGCGTGCGCGAGCCGCAGCTCGACAGGCCGTACCGTACGTGGATCACGACGCCCATTATCTTTTGTTGCGTTTCGCTGTTTTTGCTGAGCCGCGCCGTGTTTGCGCAGCCGCTGCAGACGGTGACGGTGGTGCTGTTTGTGGTGGCGGGCGTGCCGGTGTACTTTTGGCGGATCCGCGGGCGGGATCAGCAGGTTGTCAAGAGGGAGGCGAGGCATCGTGGGTACGAAGAGGGGGAGGAGAGGGCGTGGTGGCAGTTTTGGAAGAGGTCATGATTGCGCCCGAACCCGGAGGGTGAGGGTTTGCGAGGTACAGAAAGAGAAAGAAAGAGAGAGAGAGAGAGGAGTCGCGGCTTGGGCGATTCGCGCCCCTGCTGCTTCTGGGTACCTGTCTGAGAGGTCATGTTTATTAATCTTGCATATCGCCGTCGTACGGTGAGTGGCGGCGCGCTGGGGATGGTCCGGGTTCCCATTCCGAGGAGTTTCTTTTTTTTTGGATTCGAAAAGTGAAAGAGACGTTTTGGCGTCGGCTGGGGCTGCTCGCACCGGAGCAAGGTGGCAGTCTTTTTTAAATTCACAATTCCAAGGCTTTCTGGCATGAAAAAAGATTTTATCTAGAGCGTGGAGGATTCATGGCAGCGAGCGAGCGTCGTACGAAATAGCGTTGCCGGCTCAAGCTCGCGGCGCCTTTTTTGCGGCGCCTTCTGAAATAGAAACAAAACGGTACAAGCACTCCCAGAAGATAACGTCTACGTATGACTATGACGGCTCACGATCACGCTCACGTGGCGGGGTCGAGTCGTCTTGAGCAGAATCGCCCGCGCTAGAAGTCGCCGCGAGAAGAAGACGTGCTGCCCGGCCCGACGATTCGGGTGAAGAGCAAGGTATACATACCGTGCGAGCGTGGCAGCAACAAGACAAAAGAGGCAGAGTTTAGCTCCGTATCTTGCTGCTTTGGCAGAGAGATGGCATGCTGAGAGCTGGACGGAAGCACGCCGCGAGCCTCGGGTCGACCCCCCCCCCCCCCCTTCTCCTTTCGCCCAACGACCACTCCCAACGGGTCTTGGATTGCCACCTAGGGGCGCGGCCAGACTCTGCGCCAGACAGTCCCGAGCGGCTGAAGCCGTCCAGACAAATCACCCAATCAATGCCAAGGGAGAGACGGAGTTGCATCGCATCAGGTTATATTCCTATGTACGGTAACCTAGACTTCGTTGGAAGTCTCAAATGCTCATGCTAATGCTCAAAAACTACTAAAAACAAACGCTAGATTTCCCTCACACACAACCTTTCATTGGGGTATGATTTCCACTCCAATCGACACATCCAGAGAAAACTCGCTCACTTCTTCTCGCGCTGGCCGTACGCCTTGGTGGCGTAGTCGCCCTTGTGCACGATGAGGTCCTCGGGCTTGTAGTCCTCGCGACCGCTCAGGTAGCTGTCGATGATGGCCTTTGTGCCGTCGGCGTAGCGCTTCTGCGCGTCGAGCGAGGTGCCGGACATGTGGGGCACCATGGCGTTGCCGCCGCCGAAGGGGTTCTTGGCGGTGCGGAGGGGGTGGTCGCCGGGCGCGGGCTGGGGGAACCAGACGTCGCCGCCGTAGCCGGCGAGGTGGCCCGACTTCAAGGCGTCGGCGACGTCCTCCTTGACGACGATGGCGCCGCGGGCGGTGTTGATGAGGTAGGAGCCCTTCTTCATCTTGGAGATGAGGTCCTTGTTGAAGAGGCCGCGGGTCTTCTCGTGCAGGGGCGCGTTGATGGTGACGACGTCGCACTGGGCGAGGAGCTCCTCGAGGTCCTCGACGCGGCGGCAGCCGATCTCGGCCTCCTTCTCGGCGGAGAGGGGCTGGTAGTCGTAGTAGAGGAGCTCCTTGCAGTCGAAGGCCTTGAGGCGGCGGAGGACGCGCTCGCCGATGCGGCCGATGGCGACGGTGCCGACGGTCTTGCCCTCGAGGTCGTACTCCTGCTTCGCGACGGCGGCGACGTCCCAGTCGCCGCGCTCGATCTGCTCGTGGGCGGGGACGAAGTTGCGGATGAGGACGAGGATGGTCATGACGACGTGCTCGGCGACGGAGACGACGTTGGAGCCGGTGACCTCGGCGACGGTGACGCCGCCGTTGGTCTTGTTGGCGGCGTTGAGGTCGACGTGGTCGGAGCCGATGCCGGCGGTGACGGCGAGCTTGAGGTTCTTTGCCTTTGCGAGGCGCTCGGCGGTGAGGTAGCCGGGGTGGAAGCTGCGATTGTTAGTCCTTCGTCCGTAATGCGTGACTCGATGCACTTACGGAGTGGTGATGATGATCTCGGCGTCGACGAGCTCCTGGTCAAACTTTGAGTTCTCGCCCTCCTTGTCCGAGGTGGTGACCAGAGTGTGGCCCTGATCCTCGAGCCATTTGCGGATGCCGAGCTCGTTCTCGGTGGTTCCCAAAAGGCCGGGGACCTATTGTGGTATCGTCAAGTCAGCGATCGTGGTCTTGCAGGATCGATGCCGTGTCTTCAGGGATTGATGCCATGCACCCCGCATTGGGAGTTTCGGAGCTTGCACATCGCCAAGAAGTTGGGGGAGGGGTGAGGATGGAGGGTGGATGACGGGAGGGGTCGAGAGGATGCCGACGTATCTGCGATCGACCTCCGAGCCCCGCACCTTCCCGTCATCCCCGCACTAAGCTCAGCCAAACGGCGAGGCAAAGCTCCGCCGGGAAGCTATCATGGTGACGTTCCTGGCGGGTGGGTGCCCGGAGCATGCGGCAATGGCAGACAGTAGGCAATAGACAGAAGACAGAAAGAACTCACGTCTTTGGCGTGTTGACCGCCGTCGTAGAGGACTGCAAGGACCTTGACCTGGTTTTGGCGAGTAGTTGTTAGTGTGCGGATCGAACTGAGTTGGCCAGGCAGTTTGCGAGGGAGAGTCGAGGATGCTGGGGAGGCCCGGCTGAATGCGGGTCGAGCAGCGAGGAAAGATGCCTTTGAGGGCGTGCAAAGTCCCCGAGAGGCCAGAGGGGCAACGGAGCGGATGTGACGAGAGAGCAATACCATTGTGACTGATTTAAGGGTTTGAGTTGTTGTTGATCGAGAGACTGAAGCTCGGAGGGAGGGAGGTTGTTATATAGAAGTAAATCGAGATGGGAAATCCGGAAGTTCGGAGATCTGTAGAAGAGGTAGATGAAGATGTTTGTTGTGTGTGATGGAGTGGAAAGGCAGGTCGACGGAAAACCGGCCAGGGGAGGTTGTATTTATGTCTTGTAAGAGCGTCGATGCATCGATACGATACATTGATACATCGCCGGCTGACCGGGACTTTCAGACTCGCAGCTAGGGTCAGGGCGGGGAACCAAAACCACAGCGAATGGAGTACATGGACGTCAGAAAGAGGCAAGAGAATCCGGCTGCCGCGAGTCTGCCGTTGTCTGGCCGTGCTGAGTCCTGGGTCTGGGCTGGTTCGATGGAATCGATTCATCGAATGTGATGGCTGCCTCCATCTCCTCTTTTCGTGCCTCTTTCCCGCGGCCTTTTGCCTCACCTCTCCCACTTCCTCCACCTCTCCGAGATACCATGCCCCTCCTTTCCAGAGTATCTCCTTGGGGCCAGTCAGATATCGGACAGGTATCGGCAAGGTTCGAGACGGCAGCGAGGCTGGGCGACAAAGGTGCGCAAAAGGGAGACTCGGGGAGCTCTGAAAGCTACCTCTGGCTCGGCATCTCCAAGTCGGTCTCAGTGGTCTTTTTTGCCTGGTACCTACACAGTAGATGTATGGGGAAAGCTGAAGACGTCCCATCATTGGCCGCGTGGTTCGTCTGCCCTCCACCCGAACGAGAGCTTCCCTTGCCCGCTTCAGTTGGCAGCACCGCCCATGGCACGATGAAACGCCGCGTCCAACCCGACCCCGGCAAATCTTCAACCCCAAGGCCGCAGACAGCACTCTTGCTGTGCAGCTAGACCAGGAGCTGCCATCCATCTCGTCTTTTTGGCGACCAGGTGGCTGAGCCAATTCGCGCTGATCAAGAATCCCCATGCAATGCAGAGCGTGCAGTCGCGACAATCAGCAACAGCGCGCATCCTATCAAGCATCACGGTCCTGAGTGAGGGGTAACAAACCACCTTCCAAGACCGCCATCATACGCGCGCCGCTCCATCATTCGAAGCGAAAGCGGCTTGGGTCGTGTGTACTATGTGTTCTCATCACCTAATCACTTCTACGACGCTCTCCAATCGTTATCCGCCGTCGACAGGCGATCGTCTGTTTCGGTTACACACGACCGGGCCTGGTAGTAGACGGACCGTAGCAGATCCGCAGACATTGAGCCTTTGAAGCTGCGGAGAAACAATGGGCATGGGCGCTTCTGGCTAGCCATCTACAGCATGCACGAACCAATCCCTCATGCGCCGTTGGGTTGGAACGCGGAGATTTGTCGTCAAGCTTTCGAGAGACCCCTCCGGAGGTGGTTCGGCGTTCTGTCGGGGTTTTTCCTTGCGTGCGCACTGCGTGAGGGGTGGTTGAACTTCGGCGTCAAGAAAACCATCGCACGACATTCCCGTCTGCTTGCTCTGCTTGGTTCCGCAACCCTGAGGGGCCTGGCTGACCTAGCAACGTAAGCAGTGCAAGGCATCGGCATCCGTCCCGGCGCCCAGCTGATGGTCGCCCATTGATGAGTGCACCTCTCGGGATCGATTGCGGCATTGGGAGGCGGATGCGGTACACTACGGCGAGCCGCTCGTCTTTGAGCTTACCTCCGAGCTGGCCTTACCCAGCCTGGCCACCATTTCTCGGCGTTTCGCTGTGCAGACGAAGGAAACATCGTGAGCCCCGTCGTGGAGTCTTCTATCGTCAGCTGTGGGAATCCGAGAATCGTCCACGGGAGCCAGGACACGTCGACAAGTCTTCTCGACACGATTCGACAATCGTGACGGAATATCAGATCGCAGCGTGCCGCGGTTTCCGGCCAGGGATTCCGTCATCGATGCCGCATCGTGGCCCCGCGCGATCCTCTTCTTTCCTTGCCTTGTTGTCTGGCCCCGTCAGGGAGCTCGCTCCGGTCCACTATCGGGAGAGCGGCTGGTTGGCGGAGGCGGGCGGGGGCGGGACCACATTGATAAGTTTGCTTTTGGGAGAGAATCTTCAATAACGGGCGCTTGGTCTAGGGGTATGATTTTCGCTTCGCACTTCCATCAGGAACGCGCCTTTGTGAAAGGTCGTGGGTTCAATTCCCACAGTGTCCATTTTTGCCTCCTGGAGACTTCCACGAGATGTGTTCTAATATTTTGCATCGTTAGTCGCTGTTTTGTTGTAGAACAAGATTCAGGAGCAGAGTTTAGCGTTGAAGATGCCAGCCAGGGTGTTGCAAAGTCTACCTCAAAGTTGGGCCATCTGAAGTTCGGCGCAACTAACTTTATGCCAACGGATCTGCCTACCCTCCCATTCCTACGCTTTCTCTCGCAACTGCACTTAAAGCCAAACTCAATTGAATGAGACTTTGAGACCGCCTTGGAAAGATGCCCCATTATGATGGAGTTCAAGGCCGATCCTTACTTGTCGCCGCTCGTGCACGCTAAAGCCTAACTCTACTGACGTTGACTCCTGGTGACGCTTTGTGCCGCCATTTCTGCACTGTCAACAGTCTGCGCCTCTGTTCTTAACACTGTCGTATTCTGCGAGGCATCGACTTATCAGGTGCAGAGAGTCTTGACTGCATGGATGGGGGGTTGGACTGGCCCCAGCAGGCGTTACGAGAGTCGACGATGGCGTACTAGATCAGTAACGATTCTTGGCGTCTCCGGGGAGAAGGTGGACGCTCAACTCTTTTTTTCCCTTGGGAATTCGCAGGTCCGAAATGATAGTCTTCTGCCCTCTGTCCTGTGTAGAGGCGTGTGGACGCGTTGGTTCACAGTGAGTATCTTTATCCGGGCCAGTCTTTCTGGGGAGGTCGTGGTAAACCACCAACTGAGCCTTTTGTGCAAAAGGACAGGCAGCGGGCTGGCCACTGACAGGGCGGTGGGCGAGACGGAGCATGGCTAGGTATTGGTCTAGCTGAACTCAGAGGCTCGACGGAGAGTATACCTGAATCAGCACTCGGTCCTTCGTCACCGTGGCTAGGTTTTGGATCGACGAGTCGTGACGCTTAATCTGGGGAATAGTCTCCCATGGCGAGCTGCGGAGACTTCGATCCGTATCTCGGCCGACCTGATGTCGGAAGACAGTGATGCCCCGCGGTCTTTCTCATCTGACTGTCGGCACCCCTTGCCGTACTCATGACAAGTTTGGCAAGTCCGTTCCCTCTGTCTGTTTCTATGGATGCTGTTTTCTACCCGGGGCTTCCTGGCGGCATTAAATCTTGCGTCGAAGCAAGGCGTGACGTGATTCTGTAGCGCTAAATCACGTCTTCTCGTATCAGTTGTTGAATGGGGCCATGCTGTTGGAATCGATGGTCTCATGGTGCTGGCTTTGGGCTTGCTCCTGGAGAGACAACAAGAAGAGTACGGCAGTGAACGCTTTGGCGACTGTCTTCAGCATCTGGACGTTTCAAAGGTATCGTAGTTCCTGTGGATGCATATCTCCCTCGGAGAGAACAACCTCGGAGGGAACAAAGGGACTGGCGTGCTCTTGAACGCCGTGCAAAAATTGAGGAGCCGCCCATGGTGTTTCGATCATCCGCATGACGGTCTTTTATTTCTGCAAGCTATCTGCCTTGTTGGAATGATTTGACTCGTCTTAGATGTGTATCCCTTGTCTTTCCAAAGGTCGTTCTCCGCTTTGAAATTGTGGCAGATAGGGGTAGCTAGCCTACAGTCATTTTGGGGGACGAGAGGATATATAAGCCACGAAGTACTCCTTGGTCAATAGATCCGCGGATGGTCGTGCCTAGCAACGAGCCTCGCGAGCGCCAGATACATTCAAATGATACTCCCGTCGTCTCTGCTACAATGACAAGACGACCTCGGTAGATGGTCCCAAAACGTGACCGACAACTAAGAGGGGGACTTCAGAATCCCACCGATGTACGGCTGCCACAACGACAGCAAAGGCGCCAGCCAGTTCAGACTTAGGAATTCCTTATTCATCACACGTGACCAAAAAACAAAAGAGTTCACCCCCCCGGTGGCGAATGGGGGCTACATCTCTGGTGCTCAAGCTGGGATTCGAACCTAGACCCTAGTGTAGGCTAAGCCAGTTGATCAAGCTCGCCCGTAACCATCCCGCCAAACGGCAGTTTGACCTGACCTCACAGGCCTGTGAGGCGCCTGCTGCCGTTGGTGACAGAATTGGACTTGAGGGGGGGTATATAGGCTTCCTCCCGTGTATACCACGTGAATACACACATGGTGATTCACTGACACCGGAAGCTGAGGTGGGCCCTCTTCCTGGTTCGGATGAACTGATAGTGGTATTGATATCGACATTTATATCGCCAGTGCCTGGCGCAGTTCAAGGCGAGAAGCTCAAGTTTATCGCGATCATCTCTGGTTCTTGTGTGTCCTGCTTATTAATTGTAGGGAGGTCTGCCTCCGACTTCCAGAACCAGCTTCCTCGCATCGATTTAGGATGCGGTGCCACCTGAGCCGGAGATAAGTGGATAGCTCATCACGTCCACGATGCTTTGCAGGATCAGATGTTGTCACCTCATGCACGAAGACGCATCTGAAATCAGAGTCATCGCTCCATCAGGGTCCTGTCTCGAGGTCCCGGAACCTAATCTGCGCCACCCGAGACGCCCACTCCCTGGTGAACTTTGGGATCCTGACATGATGACTGATGCCTTGCATTACACGGCTTCTACATCAAAGGCCGGATGACGGAGGCACGATCGATGTGCTCGATGAGCTGCAGACGGCTTCCTTAGCCAGTCGTGGCGTCTTGATGCTGTCATACACTTTCCAACCGGCATCAGGGTGCCCTTCACAGACCCTGCCGAGTCGACGACATGTTATAAGTGCATCATTCTCGCACGATGACAAGACGAAGAAGCAGACAACATCCATCACCCGCTCGCTCCATCAACCCTCACACTTACACTAAGCCCACCATGGTGTCCAGCAAGGCTCCCATCGCCGCAGCCGTAGCTCTGCTGGCACAGATCTGCCAGGCCAGGGACCACCTAGTCTTCCGCAATGTCTCGGACAGCCCGCCTCGGACGGTCACCGGCGAGCAGGGGTGCTACACGGACTTTGGCCGGGACTACCGTGGCAGCGTCCCGACTTTCTCCCGGCTGTACTCGTACACGTTCCCCGTCACCGCGTACAGCTACTTTATCCCTTCCACCAGCACCATCACCGTGACGCCCACCGTCTCCGGGGGTGGAGGAGGCGGCGGCGGTGGAGGAGGAGGAGGGTCAGTGACGGGTCCCATCACTTCAACATCGACCGTCACCACAACCACGCACGTCACCTCATTCGGCACCGCGACAACCATCACAGCCGGGCCTCGCTTCACACCCCTCGCCTCCGCCCTCAACCACAGGCGACCAGCAGGCGGCAGACCCCAGCTCCAAGACTCGAGCTACAGAGCCAACGACGACAGCCTCGTCCTCGGCGTCGACAAGGCCGGCGTCGCCAAAGCCGACCCGCCCCTCTTCCCACAAGCCGTCGTCTGCGAGAAGGTCATCCGCGTCTTCACGACCAGCACGTCAACCATCACGGCATCCTACGCAGCGACGACAACAATCACCCTCCCGGCGCCCAACGCCACCACCACCACCGCCACAGCACCAGTCCAAAACGCAACGACGGCAACGACAACGACGACGGTCACGTCCACCATCACCGACGAGGTGGCCAACCCCACGCAGACCGTCTACCAGGCCTGCCAGGCCAACAACCTGGTCTCGGGCCACGGCGCGCCGCAGACGTACTTTGTCGAGGCGATCCACAGCTGGCACGTCGTGCGGGAGCAGCGCATCGCCGAGACGGCGGAGAGCTGCTGTATTGCATGCCAGGGGGAGGCGGATTGCGGCGGGAGCCTGTATCACATGTTTTCGGGCATCTGCTACACGTTCAGGACCGGGGACGAAGGTCACGGGCACGGAAGGAACCCCGGGGGCCACGGGGGACAGTGTAGGGCGCCGGGCGAGTTGCGGTCCACCGCGAATGTTGCTGAAGGGGCGGTTTTCGTCGCGAGTAATGGGCAGTGCGGTGGGTGGTGGGTTTCGGATGAGGCGCCGATCTAAGCTGCAGATGTAATGCGTATGAAGTAGTCAATCTAAAGAACGTTGCGCTCTGCATCTGTTGATCCGGGAGATAGAAGAATGGCCCCACTCCCGCCGGGTCCATCCGAACAATGTCTCTCGGAGGAAGTTGAATTGTCCCGGGCCGGGCCGTCGTGGGTCTCCGACGGAAGGTCGGGTGGAGTGTGGAGGACGTGAGGAAGGAGCGATCGGATGACGCTTGCTGCACGCACTGTCCAGAGGCAAACAGTCCCAACAGCATCTCGGGCTTTCTTCACGCATCGCCAAGGTCACCCAACATCACTTTGACATCGCAGGTCCCGCGGAAGCCATTCCGAACATCCTTTCCGATATCTATCGGTGCAGCTTGAGGTCATCGGGGGAATGATACAGCCATCGTCACCGAGTCCGCAGTGGCCCGATGGCCAAGGAGAGTACGGACTTGCGATTCGCCAGCAACGTAGAGACCCGTCAAGGAAACACCCATCCATCTTCGGCTGCGTCGATTGACGAATCTCTACTGGCCATCTCATCGTCAGTCACAACTACTCGAAAAGTGCTGGCCCACGAGGTATCCCTCGGGCAAGCCCAGCAGCTTCATCAATTTCGCCAAGTCGATCTCGGCGAGACATCGTGGGAGACCTCACAGCTGGCAGCATGATGGTCTGTCAATGCCATCAGTCGATGCCAAAGATATGCCGCCCTGTCGTGATACCTGTTGACGGACCGCAGCTCGCTGTCCGCGCAGACCCTCCGAATCCTGCGACCGTCAGCTGGTCGGCTCAGTTTCCACCACATCAGGACACCGCAGTCAAATGCGCTGCGCAGCGTTGCGTCTGCGAAGAAGAGCACTGCCATGCCATTCGCCACCAATGTTCAAAACTCATGGCGAACGCATCAACTTAAGTAGAGCAGACGTGAGCTCGATGCCAGGGGTCGACCAACAGGCAGCCGTTTAGGAGAATTTCGTGCGGCTAAAATGACAGCAGGATGGATTTCGCCTTACCCGCCACCCCGTTCAACCTCATTCTTGGGACTAGAGACCGGTTTGCCGGGGCGCAATCGTGCAATCGTGCGGGTAGCTCGACGCTTGACATGGCGTCTTACCTCTCCCGCTCTCCACTGCCAGGGCGATCAACCAGCCTGCGCTTCCTTCGAGCTGTCCAGCCCCTGCGCCTACATTGTCCCATCGCCAACCCGTTGCGAGACTTGTTCCACAATGCGGCCACCTGAATGGACGGGTGCCATAGGTGCGTCCCGCCGAGTGGCTTGCGGCTGGAGTCTTGGGTCTACTTTCCCAAGAACACTTTGCGCTGGTGCCCGAAATAAGCGCCAAAAGTCAGCCCTGCTGCACCGCGCCAAACGATGGACGAATAACCATCACCCCCAACGGCAACGTCTTCGAACGCGAGCGAGCCTGCGTCTCTGAATCGATAGCGAGCAGTTGTCAGACCTTAGCAATGTCTCGTGTCGCCAAATGGGCAGCGAGAGATGGAACAGCCCCCCCAAAGCCCCTGGATTTGTGCAGTGATCCTTGTTCTTTGGCGGCTTTCTATAATTGCACTTTCAGCTTAGCCCATCGCCACGCGCTGGGCTGCGGGTCCAGACGTTGCATCGCCCGGTACATAGATTGCTCTTGGCGATCCTTCTGAGCAGTTATTGTCCTTTTCCGCGCAGAATGTCCCCACGGTGTGCGGCATCCGGGCCCGCTGCGACCACTGGCACCCCTGCGATGTCATTTCTCCCAGGCCCAGGGCAACCATGCGCTCGCAGACCGTCGATTGAACAAAAACATTCCCCGTCCTCTTTTGCTGCTTGCAGCGGTACCCGGCGTCATCTGCCCGCCGTGCTCACCCACACCCCCCTTCTTTCGGCCTTGTTTCGACGACGACGACGACGACGACGATTATCCTCTGGCGACGAGAGGAACAACCTTCGTCGCACGATCGCTTCCACGATGGCGGAACTGGACTCCAATGCGTGGTATCGCCTATCGGAAACGCGCGTCGACAACAGCACCGGACCATTCGCTCTCAACCTCCAGCTTCGAGATGTCGGCCTCCGAGTGCATCCCGTAACCGACGGCACCGCGGCGTGGCAGTTTCAACCTTTTGGCGACGTCAAAGGCCGCTACCTCATGCGCCTCGACCAGGCGGGAGTCAAGCAGCAGCTGGGAGTCTGCTACGATGCGAAGGAACCGGCGACCGGGAACACCGTGGCCTGTCTGCAGGAGTCGTCAGTGGACGAGTCTCAGATTTGGGAGGTTTCGGCATGGGACGGGAAGACGGGGGAATACAAATTTGTCAACGTGGCCAACGGGACCGCCTACGTGCTCGACGTGCATCCGAAATCGAATCTATTCATGAACAGCAACATCGAGGGCTCGGCGAGCGCGACAGACACACAACCGGCTCAGCACTGGGTCATGACGAGCGTCAGCGCCGTCAACGACGGAGCATACTCGACAATCTATTCAGGGAATGTGGCTGTCAGCACGAACTCGGCGACACTATCCTCGACCACGACGACTACAACGACTACGAAATCTACAACCACATCAGGGCCCACAGCCACGGCTGCATCACAAACGGCCTCGACAGCAACCAGCACAGCTGTGGCGATACCAACGACGACGGGAATATCACCAGGGGCCGGAGCGGGAATTGGCGTCGGCGTCGCCATCGGTGTTGTCGGCTTGATCGGAGCCATTGCGTTCTTCTGGTGGCGGCGCAAGCAACCGAAGACTGCGCAATATAGCGAGGTCGAGCCAAAGCACGGCGGGAGTCTCGAGAGAGGGTCATCATCCATCGCGGGGTCTCCGGCCGTCGGAGGGTACGCGGCGCCGTACGGGGCGCATCCGGGAACAGGGAGCTACCCGTCATATAATCAAGGGTCATACAATCAAGGATCACCGGCGACGATGAGCTATCCCGTACCCCTCGATAGGGGGTCTCCCAATACCATGACCTACCCGATCCCTATGCACACGTCGTCGCCGTCGTCTGAGCCTAACCTATCCTCCTGGCACTACCCACAAACCGTGTCAACAAGCGCACTTGCCGTGCCTGCTGCCGTGCCCCGTCACCAGTTCGACCATCCCGCTATCCACAACGAGTTCGCGCCGGCTGCGTCGAACCCTTCCTTTGAATCCACATCACGCTTCGGCTTTGCGTCAACTGCGGCGTCTTCCCAAGCCAACTCTACAACAAATCTAAACGACCCCGATCCGGTCCCTAGCGCACACGAGCTCGAGGTTGCCGTGCGAGACGTGCCGCGGCGACAGCACGAACTCGGCGAGTTTCACCACGGGCCCAATTTCGACCTTTCACAGCCGACGGCGACGACGACAGCGACGATAACGGCACCCTCGGCAGAGCTGAGCGCGTTCCAACACGGCCCGGATACCTTTACGCAGAGCCACGAGGCCAAGATGCTTGGGGTGCCCACCGCGGAGCTCGGCTCGCACCAGCACGGCCCCGATACCTTTGGCGACGGCCACGAAGACAAGATGCTCGGCGGCTTTCCGCCAGGGGCCGAGAAGTATCAGCCTGAGCGCGAGGACAAAGTGCTGGGTAACCTGCATGACCTGATGAGGCCGGTTGCGGGGCAGAGCGGTAGAGGTCGGCGGCCGGATGCCACAGAGGCCACGGAGTGGCAGTCGTACGAGATGCAGTCATTTCCGCCAAGGTGACGGCTGACAGTAGGAAGCGGCGATGAAGCATCGCCCGCAGCCACTCAACCGAATCAACACCGAGAGGGCCTCTAGGCGGAGCGGTCGACGTGGATGAACACAATGATACCCGAGTAACGAAAGGCCCGCCCTGCCTTTGCCTCACCCTTGCAGTTATCTTATGGCGGATCGCCAAACACATCTGCCGGTGCTATTTATCTGCACCTGGCCATTATATCCGGCCGGAAAGTCCTCGAGCCCGAGAGAGAGTTCCATGTGCAACGTCACCAACGGAAAAGCATAGATCCTGGATTTGGACCTCGGATGAAGCTCACGAAGCCTGGAGGACGTCGGAAAGGACCGCCCGATCCTCAGCCGCACTATGGAGCGCGGGAAGGACACCCAGGGTCCACCGAGATGATGCACAAAATCCAAAGAGGGCCCAACAGCACAAATCAGGAGCCGGAACCCTGGAGATGGTTCGTCCGAGAGGTCTTAGACCCCTGCGCCTAAACATTCCCCCCCCATCGGAAAGTGAATGTGAACCTGGGGAGAAGTACTCTGCCACCCTGGTGATGCCGGGACAGAGAGGCGTTGTTGAACGCCAAAATTCAATTGTACATAAAAAAGAATCAACAGACTTAGAGTAGACTTCTAATCCATGAATAACGACGGCCAGAGTGCCTAATCATTTGCAGATTTGTGTACTGGCGTCGTAGGACTGCCAACCATGGGTTGCTTCTTTCTGCCGCAGACAAATGTGGATGCTCGAAGAGAGTCAGTGCCAAGATTAACTATTCTTCCATTTTCTACCTTCGTATAAAAGAGAAAGCAAAGAAAGGTTCGTTAGATTCGTACCTCGACTCTGATCGTTGCCGGCGGCCATTTTCCTGTCGTGCCATACGTATGACAGTAGCCAGTCATCCGCTAGGCCTACTGAGAGTCTGATGCTGACATCAAACTCGAGTGGAAAGAGCCTTGCTAACACTTGCCTGCCTCTTTCAGTATTCTGCAGATCCAGCCAGCAAACCGCTCGGCTTCGTTATCACCTGTCTTCGCCCTCCCTTGGAGTAAGACAATCTAGCCGTACTTCGAACTTGAGCAACTTGCCCGAACATAGGACCGGTGAAGGACTGCTTGTTCGCCACTATTTCCTCTCGACGGCTCCTTGGAATATGGCCGCGCTGGTTCAAACGTACCCCCAGCAGACCACTACTGTTACCACTCTCCAGTCGAGACCCTCAGGCAACATGGTCCCAACACAAGCCCAGGCGAACCAGCAATACATGGCTGCTCAACAGTCGCAGAGGAACTTTTCAGGTTCCGCCGTGTATCGCGGTAGTAATGCCCCTATTCAGCCTTACGCTTTCACCAGCACACCGAGTTTGAACACCAACAACCAGTGGCAGCAATATGGCAACGGATATCGCACGGCATCTTCACCTGCGGTGCCGACGCAAGGCGCGCGTCACGGAGGAAGCTCTTCAGTATCAAACGTTGGCTACAACCACGGCATGGGTACTAGCAAAGGAGGTTCGAGGGACGATTCGGGCATTCCCACTGCTCGCACAAATTCACAGGCCCCGAGGCCTCAGTCGGCGTATCTGGCAGGCAACACGACACAGCAAATGACATTCGCTCAGACCGCTGGGACTAAGACGACGCCTGATAGGTACCGGCGCCCGGCTCTCCAGCAACAACAACCTCGCCAGACTAGCGCCCCGTCAGGCTCAGGCATGGCGACTGTTAGTCATTTGTACAATGATGAGCAAAAGAACGCGTCAGTGCGAGGCCGGAACCCGTCTTTCCAGAGCAGACCAAACAGTTATTATGGTGCGGTTGATGACATGCAATTAAGTCAACAACAAAGTGTGGAAGACAGCAAGCGGCTCAGGCGGCGCAGCATGCACTCGCTTGATTCTGCCGATTATCCCAAGCCGCTAACCCCACAGGAATTCTCTCAACCGGAAGATTCCTCCCGTTCCGACCGCGTGCCAACTCCCAAAAACAGCGAAAAGACACTTCGCATCGTCTCCAGTCTTGCACCTCCCGCCGACAACAACATGCATGTCCGCAATGGCAGCGCTGAAAGCCTTGCATCGAGCCGCAGCAGCCATTCCAGACCATCTTCGGTAAGTCGTCACTCCCGGTTTTTGCGGTGTCGCTGGAGGCGCTCTGTCTCCGCCTCATCCCTTCATTCGATTGCCCAATCACGCACTGGCCCAGCCATCCTCAAGTGTTCCATCGCTAACAAGGTTATTTCCACCAGTCTGCCAACCGCAGCGTACCCACCCCCACGGGCAACCCCTCTTCCTCTTCAACTCCTTCACACTTGGATGATGGCTCTTCGAAGCAAGATTATCCTAAAATCGTGAATATTCCTCCACGTAGCTCATCGTCAGATGCGGCCAAGAGGCAGTCTACTCCCTCTCCTCTCTCAAAGCCGGTGACCATGGCGACCGACTCGAGTCTCCAAAAACCACCTTCCTCTCTGGGCAATGCTCCGCAACAGGTCTTGTCTCAGAGCACGACTGCGTCCAACAGCAACAACGCTAGCAGCCCCGCAGCGCAGCATTTGGCTGCGATTAGCCAGAAGAGTACAAAATCCAAGAGCAAGACATCGCGATTGCGCAGAGCCTTCTCATTTGGTAGCGCGGCCGATTTCAAAAAGGCCTCCGGCCTCGAACCTACCATCGACGAAAATAGTGTGTCTGATCCCACCAGATTGCACAAGGAGCCGACAGCGGCCGAGATTTACGATGCAGAACAGGCCGCCATCGCGAAGAAGCAGGAGGAAGGGGGCATCGGGAACAACATCTATGGCGGAAGGCTATTCTCCAGTTCGACAGACAACCTCTCCATTTCGTCCACCGCATCATCTGCCTCAATCATGATCCGTAAGATGGGTCGTGGCATGAAAAAGAGTACTCGTAACCTCGTTGGCCTCTTCCGGCCAAAGTCCGTTATTGGCGTTCCGGCAGCAGATGCGCTGGCCCCAGAAGCCAGCCAGGCTGCCGTGTCCATGGTTACCGTTGAAGCCGAGAGAGTCAATGTCAACGCTGATCCTCATGCACAGAACGGCGGTGGCACTGGATTTCCTCATCTGGAACGTAACTCCTTGGATATTTCGAATACCCCTAGCATGGTTTCGGAACGTGCTGGAAGTTCAGGTACCGATAGCGCGAGGAGAAAGAGCATTGTCGATGGTGATAAGGAGCGTGCCGAAGTGCTTGCTGCTGTCAGGAAAGGCATTCTGAAGCACAACAGATCAGGCAGCCCTGCTCGCGACCCGCGATCCAACTTCGAGTTGCCCGCGATCCCGAACGTCGCCGATTCTCCCATCTCAACTGCACCCAGCACGCCAAATGACGAGGCTCAGGGCCATAAGCGTTCCGGATCTGTCGCCATCGGTAACGAAGACTATTTCATGACTGCTTTGAGGCTTCGCCAGGACACCAAGAGTGCCCCAGGTACGCCTTCGGGCTCCGCCAAGAGGAACGCAACTTTCTCGCCGAGAATCGTCTTCCACGACACTTGGCCCAGCGGCGAATATGATCGTAGGGGCGAAATTGCTACTTGCAATCGCCTGACGCCGATGCTAGCCCAGCAGATTAAGGAGGAGCTCAACACATTCAAGATGGTACGTGCTGATCTTGACATCACAGATGGATGCATCGCTAACTGCTCACAGGAAATGGAAGTTCACGAAAACTCCAAGATTTACACGCACTTCTTCTAACGATGGCTACGCCTCCAAGACGGAATCCCACCACTTTTGCTTCTTGATGACGGGCACCAAACCCTCAATCATGTATTTGAACTACATTTACCATTCGACGGCGTTCAGGAACAGCATCGTACGGTGTCAGGGCGTTTACTATCGTCACTCGACAGCATTTTTCTCGCCTGACTGAGAAGCCTTGCCCGGCCGCCCTTTGTCGATTAATTCTTTTTTTTATTTTACTTTTTTCACAATGGGCGGGAGGTATACGAAGACGGCGGCCGGATGGGACAGCCTTGCAGCAGGCCAGTCAGTGCAGATTACGGGCCGATGGCCTCTTTGCATTTGAGCAGCAATCACACGGACCTCGAGGACATGATGGCGATAATAGCGGTGACCTCTTACACTTTATCAGATGGGCCCAAGTCCTCTGACGACTTAGATGCGGATTTCTGAAAAGATGGCATCACTCACTCACACACATACACACACTTGACACTCAATCGAGGTTTAGTGTTTCGATATTTGTTTTGTAAGGGCTTAAAGGACTTTTCGTTACCTGTCGGTTCTCTTCGAGTTACGTCGCCTTCAAAGTTCGTCGGGTCATGAGGAGGCGGAATAGAGTGTGGCTTTTTTCTTCCAAAAGAACAGCTTAGTCTCAGCGAGGTCTCGATGCTGGTATCGACCGCTCCAGCGAATTGAATAGTTTAGAGCGGACTAGAGCGAGCGCGCATAGTGAAAAGTTTGCATGTGAAAAGCCCCGTCCTACGCAAGTAATCCTTTGTTGGGTTGCGTGTGTCATGAATGGTCTGACACACCGTCTCAGTGCTAGAGCTAAATGAGCCTTGAGAAGCCGCAGTGTCAAGTACTCGTCTCCGCAGAGCGTTTCTCCTTGATCGGCGGGACGACGTCATTTGCTGTAGATGACAGTTCCCCTTCCCTCGCAGTTCCTTAGGTTCCATGCGTGGGGGAAACACTGGGCCCAATGACCCCACCCAATCAGATAGAGTTTCCCATCTGGGGTTTCTCAGCCTCGCACTCTGTTAGTGTGCAAGGCTCAACCAAAAATTTCTGCCATCACAAGCCAAAGTAGAAAGATTCGTAATCGACGGCAAGGCGACATTCGGTCGAGCGTGCGATGTCAAACTGAACCCCCTAGTCATCAGTGATTTTTTTTTCTCTTTTCTACAATTACAGTCGAAATTCTGGAGGGGTTTCTCAAGCTCTGGAGGCTCCGGACGTCTCAGACAACCCGGTTCGCCCGATTCTTGACCTCGACGAGAAGCATGGCGACAACGACAGAGGCCCCGACCGCGGGGCTTGAGGCCGGAGCATCGACAGCGGCCGTGACCAGACCGAAGCTACACGGGCGGGCATTCTATGAGAGCATCGGAAGTCCAAAGTACATTCTCGCACCCATGGTGGATCAATCTGAATTTGTAGGTCTTTTTTTCTTTCTCTTCTCCCCAAAAAGCTCGTGGTGCGGAGAGGCACTGTCTGGGAGCGGGATTGCTAACGGCCTTCTATAGGCATGGCGAATGCTGAGCCGGTCGTTCATCCCAGCGTCCGAGCAGAAGAACCTGGTTGCCTACACACCCATGTTCCATGCGCGATTGTACAAAGACACGGAAAACTACCGCCAGTGCCATTTCCAGGCGGTCAGACCCGACGACTCGAACGATACGACTGGCACTGCTGCGACTCCGACGAACCCGACTCCCACAACCAAGCCCTGGCTCGACGGCAACCCCGCCATTGACAGACCTCTGTTTGTGCAATTCTGCGCAAACGACCCCGACGCCCTCCTCGGCGCCGCCCTCAAGGTCGCGCCCTACTGCGACGCCGTGGACCTGAACCTGGGATGCCCGCAAGGCATCGCCAAGAAGGGAAAATACGGCGCCTTCTTGCAGGAGGATCAGGACCTCATCTTCAAGCTCATCAACACCCTGCACAAGAACCTGCCCATACCCGTGACGGCCAAGATCAGGATCCTTGACACTAGGGCCGCGACGCTGGCGTACGCACGCAACGTGCTCGCGGCGGGCGCGTCCATCCTCACGGTCCACGGCCGGCTGCGCGAGCAAAAGGGACATCTGACGGGCCTGGCGGACTGGGAGACCATCCGGTGGTTGCGGGGTCAGCTGCCGCCCGAGACGGTGCTGTTCGCGAACGGAAATATACTGCAGCACAGTGACTTGCAGCGCGCGCTGGACGCCACGGGCGCGGATGGCGTGATGAGCGCCGAGGGGAACCTGAGTGACCCCGCCATCTTCAGCCGGCCGCCGGACCCGGGGACTGAGACGACGGAGTACTGGCGCGGCAAGGACGGGAAGGGAGGGTACCGCGTCGACGCGGTGATGAGGCGGTACATGGATATCCTACACAAGTACGCCGCGGGCCAGGACCCACCCTCGCGGCGTCCGTTGTTTGTACCCGGTGACGACACGGCGTGGATGGAGGAGATGGATCGCGCGGAGGCGGAGCAGGACGAGCCGGAGCGGAAGAAGAGGAGGCGAGACGTGACCAACGGGCCCAAATCTGCCAAGAGCCGGGCGCTGAGCCCGAACTACTCGGCGATGCAGCCGCACATGTTTCACCTGCTACGGCACTTCGTATCGAAGCACACTGACGTGCGGGACTTGTTGGCGCGGAGCCGGGCGGGCGATTTGGAGGCGTACGAGAGGATCTTGAGCATGGTTGAGCGCAAGGTTGCCGAGGGATTGATTGAGTATGAGGCCCGGGGCGCGGAGATGTTTGCGGGTGACGAGGTGCTGGGTCCGGAGGCCGATGCGGCAGAGGTTGTGGAGGAGGATGGGGAGAGTTCGAGGGGCGCGGTGAAGCGGTGTAAGAGGCCTTGGTGGGTTGTGCAGCCGATTATCCGGCCTTTGCCCAAGGAGGCTATGGCAAAGGGGGCGGTGTCATTGAGTAAGAAGGATAAGGCCAAGTTGAAGGCTGCTGGGAATGGGGAGGCGGCAAAGGAGGAGGGCAAGGAGGAGGAGGTGAAGCAGAATGGGGAGAAGGAGGATCAGAGTGTTCAGGAAAAGGTTCTTGAGACTGATGATAAGTTGCTTGCCGGTTAAGGGCGGCGTAGGGTTGGTCAAGCACAACGGGGAAAATAGACGATTAGAATAATATACCCCTCTCTCCTGAGAATGACATACTCCTTGAAATGACAGTCTTGCTCTGCCAGATTGTTGGACTGAAGCACACATCAAGATGTGTTATTTTGATGCCTTGCGCGTAAGCCACAAATGGGAGAGACCCCTTCGCCTCACCAGACCTTCTGCTATCTTATTTAAACCAGCTGCTCGCCTTTCGGTCCACGAATGACCCAGGCTAGGTGGTGGTTCTGGTCCATCATGGAGCTTTTGGGCTGCTGCTAAAACTCTGGGGGAGAAGATTCTCTGAGACACGTTGAGAGACACCTTCGCCTCGGCAAAATCGTAGAGCGAGAACCCGCTGACCATGCATGTCCCTTGTTGCGCCTATACGTATACCACACGGTATATGCTATGAAAGGTGGTCTTCGAGAGCGCAGGAGGTGCCAGGGTGTGGCTAGGTGTGACCTTTGGGTACCCTGATAGCTTATAGAAGGTATCTAGTCGTTTCGTATCAACGTTGTTTGCTCTTATGTCTTGCCCTGTGGAATCTCCTTGGTTTTCCAGTCCAAGTGAATTTCTCCCCATTGCTTTATATAGCAGGGAGAGATGGCTTTTGAGTGCGTCGAGAGAAGTTTATATTCTTGTTGAAGGCTTTTTTGGTCAAGAGCGCCACTTGTTAGTTTCAAGGGCGGGAGGATGGTGTCTCGTTTTGTATGGTTCTATCACCGCCCATGCCTTTGCAAGGCGTGGGAATATTGAGTCAGGCTACCGCTACGTTCATGAAGAGCCAATCTAGCACATGATGCTCGATGCCAGACGAATAGAACTGGGTCTTGGGGAAATCTGAAAATCTCAAGAAAGGTGTGCTCTATGGTTGTGTATGCCATGGAGATGCCTGACCACGATTAATGTGGTGTCTGCTCGTTGGTTTTATGCCAAATTTCGACCGAAGAAAATGAAGTTTTAGAATTACGATAAACCGAGTTCTATCTTCATTTTGGAACGGTAGCTATCCGTGGCTACCTATCATTTGTGCCACATTATTGACTATGAAAACGACCCGTTCCTCGATGCTTGTCTCCATCAGCCTCATCTACTGAATCCGTACTGTCGCATAAGGCTAGCTCCGGCCCCGACACGGAATCAATCATTCTGATCTTGATACGCTTAGCATGCTCTGAAATGTCTTCCGCTCCTCTGAGCTGCTCTCTTGCCTCTATATCCAGCCCATACGTCAACCCCGCGAGGGAGCTACCTTTCCAGACCGGGATTTGTAGCCTCCAAGTCTCAAACATCGAGAACATGCAAAAGAGACATCCGCCGTAAAGCACACCAAATGGCAATAACATAAACCCCCATCTGACACGTATATGAATGACTGCCTCACGCGTAAGTCCGAGATGGGGGTGATTTTTCAGCGAAACGTCACGCATCCATTTGGTCATTGCGAGGGCGGCTATCTCGAACGTGGCAGTTAGATTCTTTGACTTGCCGAGTTCGTTGATCACAGAAGGCTGTTCAGGCTCGAATGAATCAAAGGTTGGATAGACAAGCTGCTTCGATGCGAAGGGAGGGTAACGCCTGGCAAACCTCTCCGCAAATGCAGCCGTCAGTGTCGCGGCGGCGGCCTGAGATATGAGAAATGGCCCTTTGTATGCGCCCAATAGTGCTGTGACGTTATGGTACGCCGGTATGTCGAGCTGTAATGGCGTTCGCTGGAATTCTCCGAGCTGGTGAAAGTCAAGTGTGTGATTCGACATTTCGTTGAAGACCCTGGATGAGTTAGAATTATCCGCTTCCGAAACTGCTAAGTAGGATTCGAGGTTTCGAATGGAATGTGAGCCGAGAATCTCTTCGTGTAGAACACCCTTTTTGACACTCGAGCGGTATATGTTGGTGCAGAAGGATAAGGCACATTCAAGGGCAGTGGCGTCACCGGATGGCTTTCTGCTTTTCCGAGTGCTGGGGTTTAATCTCATCATGGCAAATGAGACAAGTAACAGCGTTGAGTTTTGGAATGATAGTGTACTCCCAGGCTGCGTAGTAGACTGGCTTGTGAGCTCGACCTGTGGCCCCCAACCGTCATCGAAGTTGGAAATGTTCATGTTCATCGTCGGAAGTTCGAATTTGGTGTAAGGGAACTTGGTAACAAATGTCTCTGTAGTATTTGGAACCGTAACGGCTTGGTCGAAAAGAACAGCATGGCCTGTAGACTTCACCAAGTGGCTTGAAATGTCATTGCAGACGCTGCAAACTGCCAAAGAGGCATGAGGATGCCAGGTACAGTTTCCAGTTACACAACTGAAAGAAGGTTGCTGGTTGCTGTAGGAGTTGAGATTGTTGAATGCCGTCCAGATGGCGGAGAGTGAGCCGAGATCGTATTCGAGGACGATTGGTTCGATCCTAAGCGATTCTAGTGGCTTCGGCATTGGGATGAACGACACCGGATCCTCACCACTAGTTGTTGCCTTACCGACGTCGAGTATCTTCAGGCTGCCAATTTTGGCCTCCACACCTTCCCTATACAATGGGACTTCTTTCTCGTAGAGATCGATGACTGCCTGGAGGAAAGGTTCGAACCCGAGCAAGACAATCGTTGCCAGAGCACCGAAACATACCCAATGCCTGTGGACAATGTTCAGCCGAGTACACTGCATCGTAACGGGCATCAAAGTAGGTACTTGTGCTTGATACGCCACAGAAGACGGGCGCTTCCCAGAGGGCCACGTCCCGCTTCCTCAAACCGGTCGTAACTTATCACGTAATCACCCTTACGCTTAAACCAGTTCCATTTTTCCTGGCTTAAACAAGCGCCAATGGCAAATGCGAGAGTAGCCCGAGATATCGTGCCCAGGATGGAGATGATTGTGTTGAAGGTGAGGAAGAAGGACCATGTCGACAACGGCTTTCCGTCGTACGCCAGTAGAAGGGCAGCGACTGTGACCAAAGCTGTAATGCTTAGAACCAGAGCGCAAATCTCTAGTATCCAGCCGCACCCGCTGGAGCTGCCCTTTGAATTTCGGCTCTTGGTCCTGTCCGAGGTGAGGCTGTTTGTCTCGGAGGTAGGCTCGTTGACGGCGTCGGTGTTCGAAGCCAAACATGAAGTCTGGGGTTGGTATAGAGCCCCATGGCCTACGCTGATTGAAGCCCGCGGTGACATTGAGGCATCTGTAATGTCTGGGACCGGCTTTCGTGGTATCGCCATCATGGCTGTTGGCTCGAAAACGTTGCAGACCGCTGTCGAGTGAAAGATACGCTCAGTATATATGTAGGCTGCCTCACTGGATAGGAGGCTGACCCAGTGCTACACCGAGAAATGTTGAGGGCAGCTTTCATGTTAGTGGAAGTATTTGTGCTCCCATAAGGCATCGCCGGTCACATGGTTGTGAGCTTCAGGTGGAACAGAATGCGGTAGCGAAAAGAAAATGATTGACTTCTCTGATTGTAACTCTGACATGGTAGGACTTGATATCGAGGTGGAGACTCGGTTTCTCACAGGTGGCACAGGTACTCACTATACGAATGGGCATCACTTCCTTCGGGCGGTTTCCTTCAACATTCGTGCTGTCGAGAGCAGGCAATAGGTAGCACCTACTTTGGCTGAGTGACCTGTCGGCCGAAGTAGCACGCTGACTTGGAAGCTGGCCTTTGCTACACGGAGCTCGGTAAGAACGCGCAGATAACAGGCCCGATGACTTGTTCATGGCATGCTTACTCACTGCCTATTTTTAAATTCTGACCCGTCCCAGCAAAGTAGCGCGGCCTGATACGGATAGATTCGTGGAATCATAGTTATCCCGGAGTCGAGCAAGATGGTTGATGACGGTTCCCTGGGTTTGGCGGATGGCAGCACCTCCAGCTTGCTATAAACATCGGAACATGTCAATTGTATGTTAAATGAAGGTTTCTAGCTTGGTATTGGGACAATCAATGTCGACTTGTCCAAAAATAAATGCAAAAGATTTAGATACTGTGACCGCGGCAGGGTTCGAACCTGCGACCTCCTCGGAGTTCAAGTGTTCACATTGTGAACGAGGAATCATAACCACTAGAACACACAGCCGGATTTGTTGAAGGTTGCCGCCGGATGAGAACTCTAGTATCGCTAGTGTCGCCTCTGCAGCGAAATCCAGTTGGTCCAGATACAGAGGGCTTCGCGTAACATCGAAAAGATCTCGGAAAAGCTGTCATCGTCGTAAAAGTCTGATGCTCTGTTTCAGTTTCAGAAAAGGAATGGTTTTCTGTTCTTCCTGTATTACCTCTAAGGCTTGAGTTTGGGATTGAATTTGGGCTAAGACGGGACTGAAGTATCGGCTTAACATATCCTGTGGACGTTCATGCGAATTTTCCTTCGCCGATCGAGGAAATGACATTGTAATGAGATGTAAATTGCAAGTCCGGTTTCAAGAAACAGGCGATCGAACGGGCCATTTCAATTGACTGGATTTAAGTTGTGTCAACTAGACTGAAACCTCACAACAAGAGAACGGCAGTTAGCCTTGCACCGACATCGCAACCCCACCATCCACACAAAATTGAACAGGAGGGGTCAAGCAGTGACGCAGCCGTGGAACTCGAGTTGATAGAACTTCTTCAAACCACCAGAGTATACACCAACACACATACAAAAATGACACGCTTTCGCCCCTGTATAGACCTGCACGCCGGCCAGGTGAAGCAGATCGTCGGCGGTACCCTCGACAGCACAACAGCCGAGCTCAAGACCAACTTTGTCTCGACGCACCCGCCGGCGCACTTTGCGCGGCTGTACAAAGACAATGAGCTCACGGGCGCCCATGTCATCATGCTGGGGCCGGGCAACACCGAGGCCGCGCGGGAGTCGCTAAAGGCGTGGCCCGGCGGGTTGCAGGTCGGAGGAGGCATCAACGACACGAACGCAAAGGAGTGGGTTGACGCCGGCGCGGAGAAGGTCATCATCACGTCCTACCTCTTCCCCGAGGGGCAGTTCAGCCAGCAGAGGCTGGATGCGGTGCTGCAGGCGTTGGGAGGCGATAGGGACAAGCTTGTCATTGACCTAAGCTGCCGGCGGCGCGGAGATGACAGGTGGTTTGTGGCCATGAACAAGTGGCAGACGATCACAGACATGGAGGTCAATCAAGGTATGTTTCTAGCGGCACAGTTTGATATACACGAAGTGCGTGGATGTCACATGGCTGGCTGACTGACTGTGTGTTGCAGAATCCATCAAGCAGCTGGAGCCCTATTGTTCAGAGTTCCTCATCCACGCAGCAGACAACGAGGGTCTGCAAAAGGGCATCGACGAGAAGCTGGTGGAGAGACTGGCCGAGTGGTGCAGTCTGCCCGTGACGTACGCCGGCGGCGGCAGGAACCTGGAGGATCTGGAAATGGTGAAGAAGCTGAGCAAGGGCAAGGTGGACCTGACGATTGGTAGCGCGCTGGACTGTTTCGGCGGCAACGGGGTCAAGTTGGAGGAGTGTGTTGAGTGGAATAAATCTCAGTAATCGTCGAAAAAAAAAAAAGAAAAAAGTCGAATGCCCACAACCAACAACCAAACCAACACTTGTTCCTGGATGACAGGCGTCACATCCGGCGCGGCGGCCGTGCAACTTAGCTGGAGGCGAGCGGCGATGTTGTTTCAGCCAGTGCGACGAAGCAACGGTGGGCAGATGCGCTAGAAGAAGCGAGTACAAAGAAACAAAACACGCATAATGGACTCATGGAGCTGGTGTAAAACGCATGAAGTCGGCGCAGACAGGCACTAGTCCCAACGTCTCCTCTTTCCTATCTAGTTTTGCAGGTACGAATAGGTAGGTTTTCCTCGCTCTCGCGTGCCGATGGGACCCGGGGGGCGCGGCTTTTCTTGCGAGATAAACTTACGTACATATGTACGTACATTGCATCGAATCGTACATGATGAAGAGATGCCCTGCGTGCCCTGCACGATGGTGTGCGTCGGACCGGAAAGTCTGTTGTTGTTTGGCCCCTCTTTCGTCTATCGCTCCTCCTCACCGTGGCTCCTCTCTTGGGGCTGAAGAGGAGGGAGGGGCTAGGATATTGCGCAGTGTTTGGGGGCCAGCAGGTGCTCCTGGCTCTTGTGGACTCGATCGGACGATGAGGAGGAGGAAGGAGGAGGAGGAGAAGCCTGGAGGGGGAGGATACGTGGATCACACTTGACAGGCAGGACCACCAGGAAGTCAATTGCGCTGCACGATGGGACGGCATTCTCGCAAAAAATGGCTTTGCGCCGGCGGGGGCGGGGACAAGACGGTGCAGCTCTTAGGAGCAAAGTCCGGGCGTGGCGGACGATCTTTCTCGTTTTTTTATACACGCACACATGCAAAGTACTTGTAGACTCGAGGAATTAGATACGAATCAATACAGACGAATCAGCAATCGAGAAAGAAGAGCACACATCAAAACAACAATAACAATGGGGAGAAAAAACCATGTCCAGATGCATGGACAAGCAATGGCAGCCAAAAAAGCCGAGTACAGGCCGCAAGCTCGATAACAACAACAGCTTTCTTTCTCTTCTCTTCCGTCTGTTGTGTTGGTAACCCAGAGTGACATTGGATGACGAGAAATCATAACACAGCCCACCCCTGGCGAGCACGGGCAGAGGGGGAACGTCTAAAGCAACAACGAGCTCCATATCGATATCCAGCCGACGGGCTAAAATGCTCAGAGCCCACTCAACCCACCATCTGATGGGATTGTGCGATGCGATGTGATGGAGAGAAGCACGACATGCGGGAACCAAGCGTGGGCTTCCCAGGTCTAGGTCAAGGGCAAGGTCTCGACTTCTCTGACGTTTGGTACGGAGTATTGGGTAAGTAAGCCATCACGATGACTTGACCATGGACTGCAACAGCTGCAAGAACCCATGTCCTCAGCTGCTGTTGGCCCGGAGAATTATCATGGTTCAACAACAACATTGACGAGGGGGAAGCCGGACAAGCATGAGATGGAGAGTAAGCCTGATGGTTTCGGGCAATAAGCAGCACACACTACTACTCCGTACGTGCAGTACTGTACAGTCCTTGCGCGCACAGAAACGAAAACCAAGTTGTTGTTGATGAATATTATTCTCCTCTCTTCTTTTATCCTTCCTTTTCTTGCTCGTGGCTCCCCTCTTTCGCCTCGGATACTTGCTTTTCTAGCTTGCCTTTAGTCTCTCTCCCTGCAGACGCCGTAGTAGTGGCTGACGATCAAGACTGGAAAGATAATTCTAGAGTAGGCATCTTGTTCCCTAGGTATCCGTAGTCCACAGTAACTCGTCGTCTTCGGCATCAAAGGCATAGACCATGAACAGCCATTGGCTATTGCTCGCTTGAATACGTCTTGAGATTGCATCGTAAACCGCTGAGCAGTGTCACAGAAAGAGTGGGCACGTGCAGCAGACACCCGCCCAAAGCCACCCCGGTCGTCGGCCGTTCCCCTCTCCCCAGTGGTCCATTTTCCCATTTCTTGCCATGCTGGATGCTGGATGCTGGCTGGATTGGTGGATGGAGTGGATGGCTGGCTGGATGCTGGGCTTCGAAAAGCCTGCCGCCGCCTGCGGCTTGCCAACAACCCCTCGTCCTAACTCTCCCGTCAAAGGTACGTACCCGGTCTTTTATCGACCCCTGTCACGCCAAAAATCACACTAAACACAAGGTCGCCAGGAGCAACGCCACCGACAAAGAGCTGCCTTCCTTGTTTGTTTACTTCTTCCCCTCCGCGCACCAATCATCGAGTCCCCGCCTCAACGTCAACTCATACCGCCCGCTGCCCTTAAACAACACTCGACCACATCGACGCATCACAACACAACGTCCCGTTCACCCTCTTGTTGTTTCTCACCACAACCGCCGTCAGGAACGCTATCCCATTACCTGTTGCTGCACTTTGGCGGCATCGCCCTTTTTTGATTTTTTTTTGTGTGTTGCTGTCGTTTTGCGCTGTTCCCTCCCCCCTTCAGCTTCATCACCCAGCATCCCCATACTTCGGCTCTGCCCATTCCAGTCATCAGCAACCCATACCGAATTACCCTTCGATTATGACCCGAATCGGCATCTGACAGCACACATCCCCGAGAGCCACCCAAGGAGAGAAAAGTCAAACATTCATTCTAGCAGACAAAAGTCTTTCTACCGCATTTTCCCCTTTGTGTATCTTTGCGAATCCGCTCTGAACCTCGCGGCAATCACCCCGGAACGCACCGCAGCAGAGTCTGCTTAACAT